CAGCATCTTCATCTTGGTTGTTATAATCACAACATTTCGGCTCGTACCGATTTAATAATCTTTATCAGTATTTTTGAGATGAGGAATTATCATTATTATATACTTTGCTATTCAGACCAGCATCTTCATCTTGGTTGTTATAATCACAACATTTCGGCTCGTACCGATTTAATAATCTTTATCAGTATACTTTTTTCAGACCAGCATCTTCATCTTGGTTGAGTACCGATTTAATAATCTTTATCAGTATTTTTGAGATGAGGAATTATTATTATATACTTTGCTATTCAGACCAGCATCTTCATCTTGGTTTTATAATCACAACATTTCGGCTCGTACCGATTTAATAATCTTTATCAGTATTTTTGAGATGAGGAATTATTATTATTATATACTTTGCTATTCAGACCAGCATCTTCATCTTGGTTGTTATAATCACAACATTTCGGCTCGTACCGATTTAATAATCTTTATCAGTATTTTTGAGATGAGGAATTATTATTATTATACTTTGCTATTCAGACCAGCATCTTCATCTTGGTTATTTATTTATTTATACCGATTTAATAATCTTTATCAGTATTTTTGAGATGAGATTATTATTATTATACTTTGCTATTCAGACCAGCATCTTCATCTTTTGCTATTCATCATCTTCATCTTGGTTGTTATAATCACAACATTTCTTTGCTCAGTACCGATTTAATAATCTTTATCAGTATTTTTGAGATGAGGAATTATCATTATTATATACTTTTGCTATTCAGACCAGCATCTTCATCTTGGTTGTTATAATCACAACATTTTCGGCTCGTACCGATTTAATAATCTTTATCAGTATTTTTGAGATGAGGAATTATCATTTATATACTTTTATTCAGACCAGCATCTTCATCTTGGTTATTTCGGCTCGTACCGATTTTAATCTTTATCAGTATTTTTGAGATATTCAGATTCAGACCAGCATCTTCATCTTGGTTGTTATAATCACAACATTTCGGCTCGTACCGATTTAATAATCTTTATCCGAATTTAATTAATGGTTGTTATAATCACAACATTCGGCTCGTACCGATTTAATAATCTTTATCAGTATTTTTGAGATGAGGAATTATTATTATTATATACTTTGCTATTCAGACCAGCATCTTCATCTTGGTTGTTATAATCACAACATTTCGGCTCGTACCGATTTAATAATCTTTATCAGTATTTTTGAGATGAGGAATTATTATTATTATATACTTTGCTATTCAGACCAGCATCTTCATCTTGGTTGTTATAATCACAACATTTCGGCTCGTACCGATTTAATAATCTTTATCAGTATTTTTGAGATGAGGAATTATCATTATTATATACTTTGCTATTCAGACCAGCATCTTCATCTTGGTTGTTATAATCACAACATTTCGGCTTTGATTTAATAATCTTTATCAGTATTTTTGAGATGAGAATTATCATTATTATATACTTTGCTATTCAGACCAGCATCTTCATCTTGGTTGTTATAATCACAACATTTCGGCTCGTACCGATTTAATAATCTTTATCAGTATTTTTGAGATGAGGAATTATCATTATTATATACTTTGCTATTCAGACCAGCATCTTCATCTTGGTTGTTATAATCACAACATTTCGGCTCGTACCGATTTAATAATCTTTATCAGTATTTTTTGAGATGAGGAATTATTATTATTATAGCTTTGCTATTCAGACCAGCATCTTCATTTTATAATAACAACAGATGATTTAATAATCTTTATCAGTATTTTTGAGATGAGGAATTATCATTATTATATACTTTGCTATTCAGACCAGCATCTTCATCTTGGTTGTTATAATCACAACATTTCGGCTACCGATTTAATAATCTTTATCAGTATTTTGAGATGAGGAATTATTATTATTAACTTTGCTATTCAGACCAGCATCTTCATCTTGGTTGTTATAATCACAACATTTCGGCTCGTACCGATTTAATAATCTTTATCGAATTATTATTATTATATACTTTGCTATTCAGACCTTTAATCAGTATTTTTGAGATTTAATAATCTTTATTTTTATTATTATATACTTTGCTATTCAGACCAGCATCTTCATCTTGGTTTTATAATCATTTGGTTACCGATTTAATAATCTTTATCAGTATTTTTTGAGATGAGGAATTATCACTTTGCTATTCAGACCAGCATCTTCATCTTGGTTGTTATAATCACAACATTTCGGCTCGTACCGATTTAATAATCTTTATCAGTATTTTTGAGATGAGGAATTATCATTATTATATACTTTGCTATTCAGACCAGCATCTTCATCTTGGTTGTTATAATCACAACATTTCGGCTCTCGTACCGATTTAATAATCTTTATCAGTATTTTGAGATGAGGAATTATCATTATATATACTTTGCTATTCAGACCAGCATCTTCATCTTGGTTGTTATAATCACAACATTTCGGCTCGTACCGATTTAATAATCTTTATCAGTATTTTTGAGAATTATCATTATTATATGCTATTCAGACCAGCATCTTCATTTACATTTTCGGCTCGCATTTTGAGATATATATCTTTATCAGTATTTTTGAGATGAGGAATTATTATTATTTTATTATCTTCATCTTTTTTTATAATCACAATATTTAACTTTGCTATTCAGACCAGCATCTTCATCTTGGTTGTTATAATCACAACATTTCGGCTCATACCGATTTAATAATCTTTATCAGTATTTTTGAGATGAGGAATTATCATTATTATATACTTTGCTATTCAGACCAGCATCTTCATCTTGGTTGTTATAATCACAACATTTCGGCTTACCGATTTAATAATCTTTATCAGTATTTTGAGATGAGGAATTATTATTATATATATTCAGACCAGCATCTTCATCTTTTTTTATTCAGACTCGTACCATTTAATAATCTTTTCAGTATTTTCTGAGATGGAATTATTATTATTATATAATTCACAGCATCTTCATCTTGGTTTTTATAATCACAACATTTCGGCTCATACCGATTTAATAATCATTATCAGTATTTTTGAGATGAGGAATTATTATTATTATATACTTTGCTTTTCAGACCAGCATCTTCATCTTGGTTGTTATAATCACAACATTTCGGCTCGTACCGATTTAATAATCTTTATCAGTATTTTTGAGATGAGGAATTATTATTATTATATACTTTGCTATTCAGACCAGCATCTTCATCTTGGTTGTTATAATCACAACATTTCGGCTCGTACCGATTTAATAATCTTTATCAGTATTTTTGAGATGAGGAATTATCATTATTATATACTTTGCTATTCAGACCAGCATCTTCATCTTGGTTGTTATAATCACAACATTTCGGCTCGTACCGATTTAATAATCTTTATCAGTATTTTTGAGATGAGGAATTATTATTATTATATACTTTGCTATTCAGACCAGCATCTTCATCTTGGTTGTTATAATCACAACATTTCGGCTCGTACCGATTTAATAATCTTTATCAGTATTTTTGAGATGAGGAATTATCATTATTATATACTTTTTAGATAATCTTTATCTTGGTTGTATAATTTTGAGATGAGGAATTATCATTATTATATACTTTATTATTATTATATACTTTGCTATTCAGCATCTTCATCTTGGTTGTTGTTAATAATCTTTAATATTTTGAGATGAGGAATTATCATTATTATTTGCTATTCAGACCAGCATCTTCATCTTGGTTGTTATAATCACAACAACATTTCGGATTTAATAACAATGTTTTTATCAGTATTTTGAGATGAGGAATTATCATTATTATATACTATTGCATCTTCATCTTGGTTGTTATAATCACAACATTTCGGCTCATACCGATTTAATAACTTTATCAGTATTTTTTGAGAGCTATTCAGACCAGCATCTTCATCTTGGTTGTTATAATCACAACATTTCGGCTCGTACCGATTTAATAATCTTTATCAGTATTTTTGAGATGAGGAATTATCATTATTATATACTTTGCTATTCAGACCAGCATCTTCATCTTGGTTGTTATAATCACAACATTTCGGCTCGTACCGATTTAATAATCTTTATCAGACCAGCATCTTCATCTTGTTATAATCACAAATACCGATTTAATAATCTTTATCAGTATTTTGAGATGAGGAATTATCATTATTATACTTTGCTATTCAGACCAGCATCTTCATCTTGGTTTGTTATAATCCGATTTAATAATCTTTATCAGTATTTTGAGATGAGGAATTATTATTCGCTATTCAGACCAGCATCTTCATCGATTTCGGCTCGTACCGATTTAATAATCTTTATCAGTATTTTTTGAGATGAGGAATTATCATTATTATATACTTTGCTATTCAGACCAGCATCTTCATCTTGGTTAATCCACAACATTTTATAAATCGTTTTCTTCATCTTGATTTAATAATGTTTTATTTAATAATCTTTTTGAGAGGAATTATCATTATTATATACTTTTGCTATTCAGACCAGCATCTTCATCTTATTATTATATCCCAACATTTCGGCTTTGCTAATAATCTTTTCAGTATTTTTGAGATGAGATACTTTGCTATTCAGCATCTTCATCTTGGTTGTTATAATCACAACATTTCGGCTCAACATCTAATAATCTTTATCAGTATTTTTGAGACCGATCATTAATAACTTTCTATTTAGCATCAGTTGTTATAATTTTGAGATTTAGGAATCTTTATCAGTATTTTTGAGATGAGGAATTATTATTATTATATACTTTTGCTATTCAGACCAGCATCTTCAGTTATAATCACAAATTTCGGCTCGTACCGAATCTTTATCGTTATTTTAGTATATATTGAAAAATTAAACAAATGATGATATTACCAACATCATGTGTTTATGTTTTTTCCATTTTTAAAACTCTTTGTGTGTTTTTCAGAATCATCAGAGATTCGCAAGGATTTGTTTTAAAAGTAGCAAATCGTAACTTACGTGATCGGGTGAGTCGTGCAGTTGGCCTTTTCTGTTCAGTATATAGAAGGTCACAGGTGGTGTTAATACTCACTGATTCATCGCGTCTGACCAGCTGAGGGCTGAGGAGATGGTTTCCAACTCCAGGACCTGGTCAAGAATAACAATATATTCTTATCACATTTGTCAAAGAAATGGACTTTATAAGAATGACAATTCCATAATGACAGATTAGGCTTTGGCTCGCAGAACACGAAAAGCTGCTGAAGGAATTATTTATTTAAAGAAAGAAACAACATATTTTTGCAAAGATAAGTGGTCAACAAATACATTGATTTTTGTTTTTACAAACAGTAAAAGACATTAGCGCGGAAATTGAATTAAACGGGCCCAGTTAATTTCCCGCTTTTATCTTATTCGTTCACTTGTCACTAATACTTTTTGAAAAGGCATGAACTCATCTTTCTCTATAAATAGTAGGTAAGACTGGGCTCGCTTGTCTTGAGGTGGCAACCAGTCAGAATTCAAAGGAAGCCTGATGAGGGCTCCATGGGGATATGTTATGCCTAGACCCACCACTGATGCTATGATTGCAGTAAAATGTGGTACCTCTACGAACCCCCACACATAGACACACACACAAACACATACACACACACAAACACACACACACGCACACACGATCCAAGGCCGACGAGCCATTCAAGATAGAGGGTTACGGAATGAGATGTGTTTATCCACTACAAGTTCGAAGAGCCACTCAAGATTGAGGGTTACAGAATGAGGCGTGTTTACCTGCTTGAGTGGATGGTTACGGAATGAGGTGTGTTTATCCGCTATAAAGCCGAAGAGCCACTGAAGTTAGATGGTTATGGAATGAGGTTTGTTTACATGCTACAAGACCAAAGAGTCACTCAAAGTAGAGCGTTATGAAGTGAGGAGTGTTTACTCGCTACAAGGCCAAAGAGTCACTTGAGGTAGAGTGTTACAGAATGATATATGTTTATCCGCTACAAGGCCAAAGAGCCACTCAAGATAGAATGTTCTGGAATGAGGTGTGTTTATCCGCTATAAGGCCAAAGAGTCGCTCATGGTAGAGGGTTATAGAGTGAGGTGTGTGATATGAACGTGATGGAAGAATACGAAGTGAAGACAATGGGTGATAGATATGAAGATGTTAAGATTGTAGCATTCGAGTAAGCATCCACACAGGATTCTGTACCAATTCTCGGCAAGAAGCTAAGAGGAACATAGGTAGGGAATAAGGGTGATTCAAATCTGTAGATGTAGCAAGGCGTTTCTTGGCAGTGAAGGTCTGCACTGCTGGTGCTAAAGAATGGAGTTCGTCTGATCAATTGTGATGGAAGTAGCGATAGGCTTTGTAATGTTGCGTCTACGGGGAAAGGGGTTGTAGGGTGGGAAATAATTCATCACCCTCAAGACCGCGTATGCGATTTTGAACTTTGTCGAGGTTGGAAAGTGAGGATTGAGCGGTCATTTCGTATGGTGGAAATATTAACAAGGTTCTTTAACATCTAACTTGAATGCATTCGGAGTGACGTCCTTGAAGGGTACAATCAGAGTTGAAGGTCACATCATAAAGCTTCGCTTTGCCGACGACATACATGGTCTAACTGGTAAAAAAGAGGAACCCACCGGTCTGCTGAAGAAACTGGACTAAACATCCTCCAGATATATCTCCTCTCTTTTCTATCCTCCCCTCAAGTGGGCAGCATGGGGCCGCAACTCCCCAAAATATTAGAGATTGGTGCTGTGGTTTCTGTAGCAGGTAGGATTTTATGGTGTTGTGTTGCTAGATTCGTTAATTGTTTGTTTAATGGCACATCAACTCCTTATGGGTCATTTAATGCCGAAATTTGATTTTCTTGTGAGCTTTAATATTTTTTTTTACAAAAATGTATTGCTGGTAATTTTTTTACATGTCTTGATAGTATTTTCATTATAAAAATTTATTTTTTATACATTCATAGTTTGGAAGTTTACTATTTGCCTATAGCTGGGACCCTAACAGGTGTTACCACCCTGGGTCAGCGTGGACCTGGGAACAATAGAAGTTAAAATGTGGCTCAAAACTTTCCGATCAGAGGCCTTGCTGCCGGATGTAGTTTATCGTCATACTCACAACAAAAGTTGCTAGGTCCATGCCCAACCAGTTTTTGTATCCGGTTTTCTGTGACCGTTTGAATTTTTCCCAATGACAGCGCGACCTTTGCTATACCCTGTAGTCAGTCAGTTATGTGCCATGCGTGATACACGCTTACGGGACCATATATCTTTCGAAACATGACTGACGACGTAGACCAGTTGCCATCCAAGGCTATAGAACCCGGTCCTGATATTTACCTAGGAAGAGAAGAAGAGGATTCATACCTTTCATGCCTCCTAGACATATTATTAGCTATCATGTAACAGCTGATAATATGTACAGAATTTGATAAAGAAGAGAGATTCGTCAGCCTGAGGAAGAAACTGGGATGGAGATTAATGTCAAAAGAAAATGCCAAAACTCATGACAGATAATGAGAAAGATCTTTCGTCCGGTTGGTTCGTTGTATTCACTTAAGCGCAAATACTCTTGGCGAAGGTATGAATCCATCTCCTCTTCCCAGTTAAATAGTGGAACTTGCATCTGGAAAATCATTGTATTTCTCAAAAAAAAAACTATTAATGCAATATTCACTCGAAAGAAATGTAATTATTCTTCCAATTCAAAATATGTCCCACATATACCCATGGCAGTAAGACCAGAGTGAATGCGAACCAGTCACCAAAGGCCCCATCGGTGGAATAGGCAAAGATCTAGAAGAACTCAAGTGCTTATGTGTTTAAGTAATCGCAAGAGCGAAGCCGTCTCGGGTTCCAACTTCTGTAGCGTGGTGGTAAAGTCGAAGAGGAAGAATCAGACTAAACGTAACCAACCCCGAAGACCAAAACGGTGGAATAGGTAAAGATCTACACGAACTCAATGACATGTGGGATATGACAGTCATCCTAAGAGCGAAACCGTCTGGGGTTCCAACACTTGTAGGGCCACCCGTGGCGGTAAGGACGAGAAGGTGGAACCAGACTGAATGCGATCAACCCTCGAAGACCCCAAACGACTGAATAGGCAAAGATCTACACGAAGTCAACAACTAAACCAGCGGACCAACTGCTGTAATCAAGGCGAACCTTGACCGACCAAGCATCCGAGAGCCGGATGCAACCAGATTTGGCCTGTTCCAACCCCCTTTCAGCCAAGAGGAAGGCGCTTCTGACTGTCGCTCAGAGTTGTACACCAAAACCAAATTCATGCGAATGACCTTGTCAAACTTTCTTTGATTCACAGCCATCTCCGCCACTGCCAACAGGGTGAGAGAAAAGGAACAGGGAAAGAAGATGATGATCCCGATAATCGGATGCGAGCAGGTGCCGACGACGATGCCTCCCAGAAATACCTCCCATGGTAAGATTAGCTACAGGGTACGGTAGAAATAACTCCCACATTTTAAACTGTCAAATGTATGGTGCTAGTGAAATTGGCAATGGCATCTTAATCTAGCTAATGTCTTACCATTAAGCGAATAGTATTTCTGGGAGGTATGTGTTGTCGGTCTTCCTGCCGCCCCATGCGTGTTTCGGCTTTGCACAAACCACAATGGCTGATAAAAAAAAAACAAATGAATTAATCCGTATGGTGCCAATCTGTTTCTCCACAGAGACGGTGCACAACTCTTAATTGGCTGACCCAGGAATTTAACGGGACAAAATGTTGCAGCGTTTTAAATGAACTTGAAAAACAATATTTTAATATTTGTACATGGATTTATTCAATTACATAAGTACTCTTTAGTTTCACTACCTTTCTTTGAGGTAGCTTTATGATTCCATTATCCCAGAATGAATATTGAAGGAATAGAAATAATTGCTAATCTGAAGGATCAAGATAAGACAAGAACAGGTGGATGTAGCAGCATGCCTGTCAAGCTGTACTAATTTCTGCTAGGTCAGTAAAGGGATGTGAGTTCTGGCGTTGTCCTGATTAAAAGACGACAGTCTTCCCATTTGCCAATTCCGGGAATTTTTAATGGATGTCTAACTTTAATCGGTCCAATTCGGAACAATTCGATTTGTCTGAATTCAACGTCTCGTGAAGAGCTCATAATAAACAATGACTTTCATTCAGACCAGATACAAAACATCAATTAGTTTTGACTCGAAAATTTCATCTCCTTGAATCCCGTTCAGCTTTTATCCTCCCTTTGGCCCTCTTTATAGTTTTTCTCTCACCTTCACCCTATTTAACCCCTTCCACACCCCCTTGTGAACCAATGGCACCCCCGTCTTGCTTGAAATGAAATGATTTAAAAAAAATTAAATACGTCTTATTTCAATTGAGTAACTTACCGTTGTATCGAATCAAGTGATTCATTTCAGTATCATGTTCCGATGTGTAGCTGAAACCTAAACAGATGACGCCATCTCTGTTCGGTCGGTAAACTTTTTTTCTGGAAGAAAAAAAATGCTTAATTAATTTAAAAACTTAATTAATTTACAGCTTTATGCGATTTATGATTTAAATAAAGATATATTTTCATCAGCATTCCTATCAAGACCTTCATATATTATCCCTAGTCTTCTTCAAAATCGTCTCTTGTGTTAGGTATATAGCTATCTTAGAAAATAATACTGCTCACAACGAGTAGGGCTAAATGTTCGTACTATATTCGGTTCGTGAGTGCTGTCAAAAATTAAATTTAGGCTATCAGATTTTATATATCCACTAACTCTTCAATGCCTTGACGATAGAAATCAGTTAGTTTTGACTCGAAAATTTCATGAAGCCACGTTTTAAGCTCTACATCGTTGTTGGATGAAACACCCCTCAAATTGTTAGAAAGCAACAGAAGTTGGTAGTCTCAAGCGGCTAAATAATGAGAATATAGTGAATGCGACAGAACTTCCCAACCGAGCTCTTTCTCTGTACCCGCTAGTAGTCTGCTGTGGAGCGAGCAAACTGGTGGCATTTAAAGCCCACATAAGTTGGTTTCTCTTGGCCAATGCATGAGGGATCTGTGTTTCTGGATCTTATCCATTGAATGAGGATGACGAGCGACAGTAACATAAGAGCTTTCGTTTTCTGAGCCTATGACCCTCGGGTTATTTAATCAGCGCCAGCAATTTGTTTTCAGCAAACTAAACAGATCAGCCAGAACGGCGAGAGTCTCAGTTCGAACTTACTTTTGTTGCATCCGAGCAATCTTTAATAAAGGAAATATACCCCTCGACAATCATTGAACTTACGCCCCCCCACCTTAGGAGAAACCATCGTCTTATCCGACGTGCTCGTCTACAAAGAGCATCAGAATAAGCAATGTTCCATTTTTCCTTTTAAGGAAAACACACTTTCTCGTTCAGATATATTTCTCGAAAACCCTTCTTGAAACAGGAATTCCATTTCTGTGGCATTTTGTCGGAATTAAAGTTATCTCCGTACACAATACAAATCTCTCGAGCTGTTTTGAACATGCTAATTCTGTCTAGTTGGCATTCCATTTCTTTCTCAGAATGACCAGCGTTACTAAGAAGCAAAACAATGCCGTGAAGATTCTTCATTCGTAGAACCTCAGAATACCCCCCACCCCCCAAAAAAATAAACCGAACGGTTATATGTAACAACCTGACAAAAGAGAAATAATTTCTCACCTGATAAGAAAGATGTTTCCGTATTTCTCGACACATCTGTATCTGATCTTCCCATTTGCTTCGTCGTGGGTCACCATAACGCGTTGACGAATCCTCAAAAATGTGGTCTTGTTACCGTCGGGGAAGTACCACTTGTCACGTAACCATTCGTCAATGTCGCAACAAGATGATTCTGTCAGGAAAAAGACAATATTAAAATTTCAAAATTGTACAATGATAATCAGAATCAAGCGATTTATATCCATTGTATTGATTAATGGAACAAAAGGGACAAGACATACAAAAAAGACGTAAAAACAGGAAATAAATAACAGAATTCATATAAACCCTTTGCATCGCAGGAGTCCGGAGAAGGAACAAAGAAAATTATAACTGACAGGAAGTCCTCAAGATAAAGAACTAAATACTTGTAAAAACAAAGTTATATTCATTTACAACTTCTTTTGTTAAATCAAGCGTTATTTTTACTGGATACAGACAGACGAACTGTTTTTATTTTAGCCTGAAGCGGTTAAATTAGGAGAATATGTTGAATGTGGCAGAACTTCCCAACCGAGCTCTTTCCTTGTATACACGAGTAGCCTGGTGTGGGGCAAGTAAACGGGTAGCAATGGAAGCACGCAGGAGTTTGTTTTTCTCGGTCAATGCGCGTGACACCCATGCGTCGTGTTTATGAACCTTACCCAACGACTGACGAGTGACAGTAACATGAGAACTTGCCATATTATGGTTCAGTTCCCTAGTGGTCTGGCGTGGTTATTCGATCAGCGCGTGCAATTGGTTCTAATAAAACTGACCAGGCTAGACAGAATGTGGAGAGTCTATGAGTTCGAATTTACGAGAAATCTTTAATAAAGGAAAATATACTCTCCGATAGGGATTGAACCCGCGCCCCCTTTTAGGGGAAGGCTCCGTTTGATTCGACGTGCTTAACCGCTCGGTTACGAAGAGCGTCACAATACAGCAATGTTTTATTTTACCTTTTTAAGGAAAGCACACTTTCTCGTTCAGATATATTTCTCGAAAACCCTTCTTGAAACAGGAATTTCATTTCTGTGCCATTTTGTCGGTAATGAAGTCATCCCTGTACACAGCACAAATCTCTCGAGTTATTTTGGGATATTTCAATTCTCGGAAAACTCATATCTACTTAGTTTCGTATTCGAAATGTAAACAATTTATAAAAAAAATAATTTTCTTTATTAGGATTTTTGAATACGCAGACCAACAGACGTAGTACACACTGTTTGAAAAATAAAATAAAAAGGGGGCGTCTATTTCAAATACGAGTATCCACTATAATAAAGTTTGAAGTAATAAAAATATGGCATAAAAAATAAATCAATTAATTCTTTAGAAATTACATCTTTTTTATGTCAAGTCCTTTCACAACAGGGAAATAATAGCATACAAAGAAAGGAAACAGCAGGACGTCTTATAGAGGTTAATAAAGGGAAGCTAGAATTAAGGACAAACCATCAATTGGAAGATGACATAATGTATGGTTGTCAGCAAAAGGGAACAGCCCAACATGCGAACTACAAATTGGAGACATCAGAATTTCATACAAGTACGACAATTTAAATATCTGGGAGGAACAGAGGATGAAGAATGTGACACCGAAATTCGAAGGCGCATTGGAATAACGAAATATTTTTTTCACGATCTTAAGAAACAGGAAAATTTCGCTAGAAACAAAGAAAATTGGACTGAACTACTATATATATAGGATTCTAGGACAACTGCCCCGGTCCTGGGTATGATGATAAACCACATCCGCGTCCTGGGTAAGACGATAAACTACGATAGCAAGGAGGAGGTTTTAAGCATGGAACCACCTCTTAATTGCTGTTGTTCCTGATCCACCCGGACCCAGGGTGGTAGCACCTGTTAGGGTCCCTTCTATGGGTAAATAGTTAACCCTCAAACTGGGACAAAACATTATAAAAGTGTAAAAATAAGTTTTATACCAGCAATACATTTTTAGAAAAAAATTATTACCAGCAATACATTTTGAAAAAAAAAAAAGAAATATTACCAGCAATACATTTTAAAAAATATTACCAGCAATACATTTTTTAAAAATATTACAGCAATAAAAATTTTGTTGGTATTAAATAACCAATTGAGGTTGGTATGCCGTAAAAGAAACCAAACCAAACCAAACGAAGACAAGTGCCCGACGGCTAAGAGCCAGACGACCAAGAGCCCGACGGCCAAATGAACGATAAGGACAATTACCCGACGGAAAAATGCCCGCTGTAAAATATTTAGATATTTTTGCTTTTATTCGAAAGGGAAAGTTATAGATAATATCTAGCTATTCCATCTCCCTTCTCATGAAGATGCAGACTCTGTGCCAAGGTGACGCGTACTATTTGTTGGATACAAGATATTTTTGAGGATGAAAACTTATGTCGATGTTCTGCAAGAGTTGGTTTGTTTAATATAAAATCATTCTTATTAGTTTCATTATTGCTTTCTTAATCAATATTAATTATATTATTATTACTATTTTCATTAGTTATATTATTGTTAACATTATTATCATTATTAGGACATTATTATTAACATTATTACAATAAAACAAAAACAGCGAAATCATAAAAAATAAATCAACGGTATTGAAACTTATTTTTAGTACAATAAACAATTGCCAGTGAAGATGAGAATTGAACAATCAAAATTCCTCTTTCTCTGACTTAAAATATTAGTTGTATTTTTCAATGTGCAACACGAGAAAAACTGATATTGAACTGAAATTATATTATGATACTTTCCCTTTCGAATGACAGCAAAAATATCTAAATATTCTATATATATATATATATATATATATATATATATATATATATATATATATATATATAAACATCAGGCATTTTTCCGTTGGGCTGTTGTCCCTATCGGATATTTTTCCGTCGGGCAATTGTCCTTATCGGACAGTTGTTTGTCGGGCACTTGACCGTCGGGCTCTTGTCATTTGTCCGGATACCGTAATCTAGATCCTCTTATATGGCAGCGAATGTCCGACAATCTCATAGATGGAGAAAAGACTTGAGTCAGCAAAATGTGACTCTACAGAAGGATGTTGAGAATACCAAGGACTGATCACGTGACTAACGAGAAAGGAAATCGAAACAAAAATGGCGCTTATACTTAAAATCAGAAAATGGCAGTTGAAATTTCTCGGACACATAATAAAGGAAATTGGGCCTGGATAATTTAATAATCACAGGACCTATTGATAACAAGAGGAGCAGAAGGAAATATCGCGTAACCTATATAACAAGCCTGTGTAAATAGATGACAGAACAGAGACTGTGCCGATAGCTGTTTAGAGCTAAAAAGGATAGAATGTGGTGGGAGTGTTATGATCTGATAGAAGTAGTTTAACAAACGTTGTTTTGGGCCAACAAGCAATATATCTGGTTAGAATGGGCCCCAGGCGGCACTAAGGTGTGGAAGACAAATACAATCAAAGAGAATTAAAAATGGCGTACTTACCAGAATCATCGGACCAGGTACAAGTCTCTTCCGAGGTAACAGTCGCACATAAAAGGATCGTGACGAAAAACTTGACCTTAAAGACTGACATGGTGGATCAGATTCTGTAAGATAAAAATATCTAATATTGTTGGTTTTCTATAAATGGACATAATATATGCATTGGCGACTTGGCATCTGTGTATATAAATCTTGCATCTGTACCTACAAGAACATAAATTGTACATATCATGCTTGAAAAAAAAAAAAAAATATATACCAGAACAAAAGCGATAAAAATATCTACAAAAAGAAATTGAAAGAAATTATCTAAACTATGTACCCAAGAACATATTGAGTAAAAATATTAAATTTAAAAGTTATCAGCGTCTCCTTCGGGGGCATGTGTAATTACATCAACGTAAACATTACTTTAGTTCAGGGGGTACCAACCTTTTCTGGGCCATCGTCCACTTTCACATGGAAAAACTTTCCACTGCCCACCTGTATAGTAAATATTCAAAAGCCTATCAAAATTGTTTGGTAAAAGTTTGTTACTGGTTCGTAAACTGACTTTATGATAGGAAAAAAAATACCAAAGGGAGGTAACAAATTAACACTGGCTTATGCGACTGCTGCTATTACCGTATTAAAGAACAAACGAAAGCAAACATGTCCACTGAAAACTATATAAAAAAATTCTTTTTTCGCGGAGATATTTATATCTTTTCTAGTTCAGTTGGTCATTGCATATCCAACAGTTGAAATTGCCCACCGGTGTGGCGAAACGCGTCATGCAAAATTTTTCCATTTCGTTATTAATTTTCCTAAAATATAATGCTCATAAGTAAGGCTTGCTCCTGATCATTGATAATCCTATTTTCCCGATTTCAACACATTTCTACAGTAAAATAATTTTAGAGCACTCCTATAGTAAAAGTGGTGTTTTCATTAATCCAATACAATTCCATTCTTATTGGATTTCCCTGCTGTCTACAGCAAAACATTTTACAATGTACGAGGATAAGTAAAAAATTATCTGCACTTTCGCAATAAGCTATCTTTAGGTTTGTCCCGCGACTTTAGAAAACTAAGCGTTACTGCATTTGGAATTTCGCTTATTTTTAAAATGAACTCTCTATTAACGAAAAGAAAATCAATTCAAAATTTAGTGACACTGGGTTTTTAAATGTCATTCAATTTGCTACTTGTAGTCTAATTTAGCATTTAATGATGTGATGTGCGGTGTAACGGATAATGGCACAGAATGCAATATCGTAGAGGCGAGTTCGAATTCTAGTCGGATTCGTTACATTCCTTTACGCGCAAATAACTTTAGGAAAGCTATGAATCTATCTCTTCTGCTATGAGTTGAATATCAGGACAGATTGGGTCCTATAGCCTCGGTTGGCAACTAGTTAATCTCAGAAAGAAACGGCAGCCAACTACGGGAATATCTTCTATCGCGTCAATTATGAATCAAAAGAGATTAACTGAGTTCAATTAAACAATCATTTTAGACGATAAATATTTGATTTAAAAGCAATTGGATATTAATTGGGCGATCATTTCTGTTTCACAACGAAATAATAAGCAGATCCATCTTTTTTTTTCCTACGGCCAGATTGGCCAACAAAATGACATTATTTATTGATTAAATTATCAAGACTTAGCTGCATTTCTTTTTATCAAATAATCTTACAAAATCAAGCGAGGAGTGAAAACTTCTTTCTCCTTGCAAGAAATGAGATTAATCATAGCAAATTGTTTTATTTTAATTTTTTACAATGTACGCCATGTCTTCAAATTTACTATAAAATGTATTGTTATTTTGCTATAAAAATGTATTGTTGTTCATTTTATTATAAAACGTATTCGTGGTATTTCTACTATAAAATGTATTGTTGTTCAAAACGTATTCGTGATATTTCTACTATAAAATGTATTGTTATTCATTTTGCTTTAATAATTGCTGGTAATTTTACTATAAAATGAATTGTTGTGATTTTTTTTTTATAAAAATGAACTAGCATAATTTAGCTATAAAATACACTGTTGGTCATTTTACCCTGAAAATGAATTTTTATACTTTCTTGATGTTTTTGTTTTTGTTTGAAGGGTTCACTATTTGCCCATAACAAGTGCTACCACCCCGGGTCAGGATTGACCTGGGGACAACAGCAATTAAGAGGTGGTTCCACGCACGACAAAACCTCCACTCTCCCGATCAGAGACATTGCTGCCTGGTGAAGTTTAACGTCATATCCAGGACTAAAAATTTCATTAGAAACATAGAAAACAGTTCTAAACTGCTATGTAATATCATTGCTTCTATATGACAGCAGATCTCATCACAGACTTGAGGCAACAGAAATGTGGTTCTACAGAAGGTTGCTGAGAATACCACGGACGCAGCATATAAGCCATGGGAAAATTTTGAAGGAAAATGGAAACGAAAAGGTCACTTATGATCTGAATCAGACAGAGATAGCTGAAATATATTGGAGACTAATGACAAAGAAGGGATTGAAAAATTTGACATTTATAAGACATATTGATGGAAAAATAAACAATGGAGGACAGCGTGCCGCCTACATGATGGACATATGTGAATGGATGATGGGAGCTACAATTTAATAATTTAGTGAGATTTAAATCATGACTGGTTGTGTTGTCGGCTTCACTGTGCTGCTGAGCACCCGACCAGCTTCCTTCATATGTCTCGGTTGCATGCTAACATTTGTGTCTCTATGAAGGCTAGTCCAGTTCACTCTGCAACGTTGTCAGTCAATTTTTTCTACTTCCTCTTTTGCCTGAGCTGATACCTTTTGATTCTTTTTGTATTGTACAAATACTTTTTTCAGCCATTAAAATGAATAAATGGGATTTATTTCTATTTAAATTTTTTTGTTTTCTATGCATATTTAGTTATTATGCATCTGTGTACAGTTAATAAAATGAAAAGTATGTTTATTTAATAGTTGGAAATACAATAATTAAAAATGTGTATGTGTACGAATATTTGTTCCTCCCTGATGTACTTTAATGGACACTTCTCTTTGGGGCCTCGATCGAGTGAATTTAAGCCTACTACTAGACTGGTTACGAGATCTCGTTGTTTTACTGTTGAAATCGCGAGATGTAACCATAAGTTCTATTCTAATAGTTTCTTCTATTACTCTTCTAACTTTTGTAACTCTTTTCCGGTTTCTTGCTTCCTTGCCACCTACAATCTTCGAAAAAAAATTAAATTCGATATCAATCTCCATCTTCTGTCTTCCTGAAGCCTGTTCTTTTATTGTCTCTTCCTCTCACTAAACAAAGTCTTCACATTTTCTTTCACTCCCAGCAACCTCTTGCATTTTAGTGACAGTATCGTCATCATCTGTCTACCTGAAACGTGTTCTTTTATTGTCCCTTCTCCTCACTAAAGTCTTCACATTTTCTTTCACTCCCAGCAACCTCTTGCATTTTAGTGACAGTATCATCATCATCTGTCTACCTGAAACATGTTCTTTTATTGTCCCTTCTCCTCACTAAAGTTTTCACATTTTCTTTCACTCCCAGTAACCCCCTCTTGTGTCTTAGTGGCATTATTGCCTTGCTTGGGATGAATCGGTTAAAACAATTGAATTTCTAATGCTTGGATTATTCGCTGTAAATGACCAAGATTCGCAGATTGATAAAGTCGGTGAACGCAACAGTTTGAGGTTTTTTTTATTATTTCAGGCAGATGTTCTTGTCTTTCCAACGAGCGCGAAGACATATTGAAATATCGATCGATATTAATTTTCTACGTATTTTCAATTTATTTCTTTAACTCAATCCTCAACCAGAAACCACGTTTTCAATATTCTCAGCCGTTATCAGTCTTCCTATATGGCAGTGAATGTTGGACAATCTCCACACAGACGAAGAAGAGATCTGAAGCAACAGAAATGTGGTTCTACAGAAGGATGCTGAGAATACCTTGCTAAAATATGTAGAAAATTTGGCCAGCACTTCGTATTAATTTTATATTGCACAATGTACATTTCTCATGTAATTACAATAATATAATGTTTAAACAACGTCATCTTGTTCTTCTGTCATTTTCAATCAAATTCATCCTATTCAAGACAATAAGGCACTAAGACACAAAAGGGTTACTGAGTGTAAAAGAATTTAAAACCAGAAACATTACAAAAGAGCGAGAACAAAACAACAGTTATTAGGAGGACAGGAGATTGGCATTGCATTTAAAGTTTTGAAGATCAAAGTTGGCTGGAAAGCATGGAACCGGAAGGGAGTTCTACAGACAAGAAATGCAAGAAAATAAATTATTATCATAGAACTTACAGTTACATCTAGCCAATTCTACTGTAAATTGATGAAATCTTGTTGCTAATCTAGTACTGCACTTAAATTAATGAAGTCTAGGTATCATAGCGAGGTGCGCATCCGGGCAAATACTATGTACTTATAGAAGAAACACAGGGTAGCAATTTTACGGCGGCGAGAAAGTGACTGAAGCCGAGACGCCAGGTCAGGACTAATAGTATTGCATATCTTTCTTTGGATTTTAATACGAATATCTAAATATATAGCATGGGCAGCGAACCAAGTGCGAAAGAAGAAAACGTTAGCATATAACTTACGGCTAGATCTCGTCATCCCAACTGTAAATTGAAGATATCTCAATGCCAGTTTAGTAATGCTATTAAATTTTTAAACGTCTATGTAACATAGCGAAGAGCTGATCCGAGCAATTATCATGAAATTATTTATAGAAAAGGCACAGGGAGACAACTTTACGGCGGTGGTAAAGTGATTGAAGCCGAGACGCCATATCAGGACCAATAATATTGCTCATTCTTCTTTGGATTTTATCAAGGATCTCTAGATATACAAGAAGGTGCAACGAGTCACTCCACTGGAGGTTAGCATTAGCCATTCTGATAGAACGGAGAAAGGTGTCACTCAGATGATTAATGTAGAGCAGTTTTGTTTTGAAGGCGCTATTTTTTATTTTGTGATGTAGACGAACACTCGTTTGACACTTTTGTAATGTCAACGAATACTCGTTGTCACTTTCGTACTGCTCGTTGTAGTAGAGACTTTGCAATCGCAGATACAACTATAGTAACGCAGTTGAAGAATGCTGATGCCAGACGCCTTTGAATAATCTCGCACTAATAGTACTTGCTCGATAACAATCGCTCGAATAGTAAACTGTATAGAGATATAGTATAGTGAATGGAGTAGAGAATAGTTGTCCGTATAGTAATAGAGGATAGAGAAGAAGTGCAGATCCGTATAGTATAGAGGATAGAATAGAAGTAGCGATCCGAATAGTATAGAAGATAGAATAAAAGTAGCAAATCCGAATAGCATAGAGGATAGAATAGGAGTAGCGATCCGAATAGTATAGAGGATAGAATAGAAATAGCGATCCGAATAGTATAGAGGATAGAGTAGAAGTGCAGATCCGTATAGTATAGAAGATAGAATAAAAGTAGCAAATCCGAATAGCATAGAGGATAGAATAGGAGTAGCGATCCGTATAGTATAGAGGGTAGAACAGAAGTAGCGATCCGAATAGTATAGAGGATAGACTAGAATATAGCGATCAATTAGATACACGCTACCTCCCATATATGCGTTTCCTCTATGGTCACGTGATCTACTTTTCAATAATGGAATCGCCTGTGTTTACTCACTGGCTATCTATGTTCAAACTCAAGTATCGCCAGCGACACTTTATTCTTATATAACACATTCTTTGCCCAAATTAACAACAGACTGTAGGCCATTTTTATACCAACTGCTAATTTGACCATATCAAACTGATTAGACTTACCATCAAGACAGGAGTAAATGGTTATCTCATCAGCATAGACACGAAGGTCTTTTTTTTTTTTCCTGTTGAAGCGTAGGGCAATTAAATGAAAACCTTCATTATTTCTCCTTTCTCTATTTGCCGTGCGCTTTCAACGCGTGGGCTATGATGGCGCTTCCCGTTTCACAGAGCTTTGTTGCGGTTAGCAACACTTTCTCTTCTGTCTGTTTCCTCCATTCATTTACACAAATTAGTCAAGTAGGTTACAAGCTTTTTACCCCTGCTTCTCTTGCTTTCAGTATATCATGTGACTGCTAAATTTTCTACATCATCTTTCCTCACCATGCGTCTCAGATTTTACAACTGAGTCTTCTTTTACTTGTAAAGGGTGTTCCAATAACTTGAACCGATTTTAATGTGAGCGTCTAATGAGTTTTTTTCTTTTTCTTTCAGATTTGGCGGACACTGGGCGATATTATTTTTCACACATAATTCCCATGACTTAAATAACATGATCCAATAGAGAATAAATAAATTTTCACGAATAACACTGATTTAATTACTGCTAACTTTGATCCGTCTTAATGAAACACTTTTATATATAATCCGTCTTAATGAAACACCCTTTATATGCAATTTTCTTTGTAGTTCTTATTTTCCTTAAAAACTTCCTTGTTGCTCGATATTATTCTTATAATTCATCAGTAGAACAACATCTCCGTCACTTCAAGTCTACTCTTCACCAATGAGAATATTGTTCAGCATTCACTGCCATATAGGAGATTAGACATTACATAGCAGTTCAGGTACTCTTTTCTTTGTTTCTAACATTTTCCTATCTCTTAATACTTTGCTTAGTTTCTGAAAAGGATTAGGAGAATGCCCAGAGTTCACTGCCATATAAAAGATTAGATATTACATAGCAGTTCAGCACTCTTGGTTGCTAACGCCATTTTTCTATTTCTTAATACTTTGCTTACTTTCTGAACGTATCTATCTAAGTACTGACTAAACTCGACGTTACTTAAGTTCGGTGATAATACGGGAAACGGTGTTTCAATGTGATATGACCGTAAGCCCATAATACCACCTACTCATCTAACCCTACAACACCTGGTATTCCCAAGCTGTCACCCATCTAGAGATTGATCAGGCTGGACATTGCTTAACTTAACAGGTATTGTACGCGAAACGGTGTTTCAACGTGATATGGCCTTAAGCCTTACCACCCGCATATCCGCAAATTAACAATTCTGAGCCATTACCCATTACACTAGCCGAACATCTAGCCATGACCCATTACGCTAGCCGAACATTCAATCTTACAGCACCCGGTAATCCAAAGCGGTCACCCATCTAGATACTGACCAGGGTCGGTGTTTCAATGTAATTTGGCCGTAAGCCCATTATACTACCCGCACATCCAAGCTTACAGCACCCGGTATTCTCAGGCGGTTACCCATCTAGGTACTGACCATGCTCGACGTTGCTTAACTTCGCTGATCGTACGATTACCGATGTTTATATTCCTTGATATTCCAGGAAATAAAGGAGAATAATTTATGTGGAAGTTGAAGATAATGATAAAAAAAACAAAAAACGCATGGAATTAAACTTTCGAATATTACCAACATTTTTTTTTTCTATGAGTTTCAGGATTCATTATTTTGTTCCTTTGTTGTTGATTATTTTTCTAAAAGTTGATATCACTTTCCGATTGATTTTTACAAGCGCATTTTGTTCTGCTATCTGATCAATACGAATCACTAATCGAGTCCCTGTATAAGTTGTTGTTGTTAATTAGCCAATTGTATTATTAACAAGTACTTTGTTAAAGATTTTTTTTTCAATAACTGAGAGTTATTCGCCTCCAGTTAAAGAATCTAGATGCGCAATTGCTCGGATCTTATTTTAATTATATTTCACAAGGCCAAAGAGTCACTCAAGGTAGAGGGTTACCGAGTGAGATTTTAATGGTGAAGAAAGCAAGGGAGTGTTATGAGGACGAGTAAGATAGTTATATAGCTTGACTTTAGACTTAAAAGAACGAAGGTTGTGGTTGTCAGGGAAGCATTCTCTTGGGAATTTGTTCCTCATAACAGTTCTGGGGTAGAAGCTGTTTGAGTGGAATTTGCTTTTTATCAAAAAAGGGAATGAGTTTGGTTTGCCACCGTGAACATGATATGACAAGTCCTAGCTGTGAAGGGCCAAACTGATGGCATTAAGAATGTAACTTGTCCGAACTTCTGTCACAGTAATATAGATATAGTCGTTAATGGCTGGTGACGTTTTGTATATGAGATAAGGGTAGAGAATAATTCATCACCCACAAGGCCGCGTAAACGTTTTTGAAGTCTCTCGAGGTTGGGAAGTGAGGATTGGGCAGCTCCATACCAGATATGGCAATAACATTCCATTCTTTGGTCTGATTTACAATGATAGATCATGGCTGCAGGATTTAGGTATTCTCTGGGGCGATAAAATGAAACGATACTTCCCCCAGCATCTTTTGCGATGTCACGAATATACACGTTCCATTTGAGGTCGGGAGTGATCATTATCCCCAGTAGGCGTTCGAGGCAAACAGCCACTTTGAGGGTATAACGACTCATCAGAATTGGTGCCGGTTTAGGGTCAGCTCGGTGGTGATAAAATGCTGCTGGCTTTGTTTTAGGGACATAGAGTGATACCTGCCAGTCTTCCTCTCACTGAGCATTGAAAGTTTGGTCAGAGGACAGATTAGCTGCCAGGCACTGGACATCCAGATATTTGGAGATCCACCTATACACTGTGGTGCCATCGGCATATATATTTACTAAGGATCTGAGAATGCTCTGAGGCAGATTGTTAAAGCAGAAAGAAGAGGGTAAGACCTTTGGGAACGCCAACATTGATCTCATGTATGTCAGAGGACTAGCCATTACCAACAACTTTCATAGATCTACCCGAGGGGAAGGATTTGATAACTAAGAGGACTCACCCAGAGATTCCATAACTGGAAAATGTATGTAGCAATCCTCTGTATCACACCTTTTCACATGCCTATGACATGTTGTTGTGCCATAGTACCTATTCTTTGGTAATGGACTCTCCCATAGATTCCCTCCCCCTCCCTCCCTACTGAAAGGCATTTTGTCCCAATAATTCTACTTATTTGATAATTTAGTAAGAAATCCCGGTCCGAAACGTTAAAGAAAAAACTAGAAAAATGGAAAATTGAATGTCTTTGACTAGATGCGAGGGTGTCTCGTCAGTATCCTAACGATGTTGTGACAGTATCCTTTTGCTTGATATATTGTCTGAAAGCGGAATTGTTTTTCGCCATTCCATCTCCTCTTTCGAAAACTTATTGAAAGCATATCTCCCTAGCCCAGTACTTGGTGGGGGCCGAGGATTGGCCGATGATTCCTCCCCCCTCCACCAGGTCGACGCTTGGACACAAGGTAAAGCCGTATATTCAGTCACTATCATCATGACGATGTAGTCACCCACTTGTTGGCCCATGTGAGTATCGTTTCGCTCTAGCTGAATGCATTTACATTTTTCATTTTTTATATTTTTTTTTTTTTTCTCGTTTTTTAAATTTTCTATTTTTCCCTCCCCCTCCCTCCCTACCGAAAGGCATTTTGTCCCAATAATTCTACTTATTTGATAATTTAGTAAGAAATCCCGTTCCGAAATGTTAAAGAAAAAAAACTAGAAAAATGGAAAATTGAATGTCTTTTACTGGATGTGATAATAAATCCGGGTAACCGTATTTTCAATTTCTTTTTAGAATAGACATTGGGACTTATACTAAGTTAAAACTTAATGTGATAGGGTATAGCCAACTGCGAACCAGGACTCCTTACCTGTTATCTCCCCCTCCAATCCTTCCCTCTGTTTTGTGTCGTCCTTTTTTTGTGTTATCTGTAATAGGAGTAGGTAGTCCCTTCTACCGCCCGGTCAACACTCCTCCCCCTTCTATTGGACATGAGTAGAGGCTTACACCTTGTTTCTTGTCTAGGAAGGGGTTCCCAATTCTGTCTTCTCTCTCCGGCCTCTGTATTAGTGCAGGTCTGTTTCTCCCGTGATGCGTGCAGTCTGTGGCAACATCTCTTCATTCTGAGGGTACACGGCTGACAGTTCTCTGGTTGCTGTTTCCGACTGGTAGTTAGGAGCCCTAACTCTTGCGTAGCGTCTTGAGCAGCTGCTCTGATCAACAGTTGTATAATACCGGGGTGTTTGTAGTGCCATGTCGCGCGTGGAAAGGTGTCCCTGCAGTCACCTCCGGTGGGCAGCCCTGAGGCCACATAATGATGCGGATTTTGCCAACTCCTCTCTGCCCGCGTCACGGTCGAAACTGTTTTCTCTTACCTCGGGCCTTCTCATCTTTGCAAATAAATCCAACATGAGTTACAAAAACCGAAAGATTTACCCTAAACCAGCCTCTCAGAAACCACCTAAACCCCTCAACATTTCGTTCTCCAACATCCGGGGCATTAGGACAAACTTCTAGTCTGGAATCTTTCCTCACTGCAAACGGCCCGGATGTACTGGCTCTCTGCGAGACAAACCTTGTCTCATCTATCCCCTCTTCTGATCTCACGATCCCCGGCTATCTTCCTCTCCTCAGAAAAGACTCTCTAACCCACATGCACGGTCTTGGTGTCTACGTCAAGGAACATCTCCCCCTGGCCAGAGAGTTCTCTCTCGAATCGCCTGACCAGTCATACATGTGTCTCCGTCTCTCTCTCCTCAATGCGGTAAGCTATCTCTTCTTCCTTTACCGCTCTCCATCCTCTCAAGACTGTGAGATACTTGATAGCATTTCTGACAACATAGACAAGGCTCTCTCCCTCCACCCGTTTGATCACATTTTTGTGTTTGGAGACTTTAACGCCCATCACACTCTGTGGCTTAATAATGCTACTACTGACCATGCAGGCATTCAAACGCTTAATTTTTTCAATCTCCCATTCCCTCACACAGATAGTTAACTTCCCCACTCGTTTTGCCCTCAACCGGGAAAGTAAAGCCTCTCTAGTCAAGCTACTTTACCTCTATCCCCGAATCCTGCAGTGCCTCGCAACTATGCCCACTTGGTAACTCTGACCATGCAGTAGTATCGGTTAACATCTCCTTTAACTCTACCCCTATAAAGAACCTCCTACCACTAGAACTTCGTTCTATTATCAACGAGCTGACTGGGACGCGTTCCGTGATTTCCTCCGCGATGTCCCCTGGGATGGAGTCTTTAAGCTCCCCGTCCAAGAATGTGCTTCTGAGGTCTCTTCCTGGGTTAAAGCTGGAATCGACGCTTTCATCCCATCAAGGAAGTATAGGGTTAAGTCGCGCTCCTGCCCTGGTTCTCGGCTGCTTGCTCAGCCGCCATCGCCCATAGGAACCACTACTTCCACCTATACCGTAGCGACATGTCTGACTGCAATAGACGTCTCTTTGCTGCCACCCGTAACGAATGTAAGCGTGTCCTAAATGATGCTAAGTCACTATTTGCGGCTCGAATGAAGGAACGTATTGCATCTCGAAAATTTGGCTCCAAAGATTATTGGCGTCTCTGCAAGAGTGTATTGAATAATTGCAAACCCTCTATACCTCCTCTATTCAACCAGTTCGAAGTCTTGAACTCCTCTACCGACAAGGCTGAATGCTTTGCTCGGAAATTTTCATCCAACTCGACGCTCGACTCTTCTGGTGTACCCATACCCGACTTCCCTCTGAGAACTGAGGCCATATTGAGTGGGTTAAACATAACCCCAACTTTGGTACTGGGCGTTATCTCCAATTTAGATCCCAACAAGGCGAGTGGTGGAGATGGGATACCAGCCATTGTCTTAAAGAAATGCGCGCCTGAACTGGCGCCCGCCCTTTCGAAACTATACAACTACTGCCTCAAGGAATCTTGTTTTCCTGACTGCTGAAAGTCCTCTTCGATCGTTCCTGTCTTCAAGAACTCCGGCGACCCCTCTGACCCTTCCAACTACCGTCCTATCAGTCTCCTTCCCTCTTCGGCAAAATCTTCGAAGCTCTAATCAATACCGGGGTGGTTAACCACCTCACATCCCATAATCTGCTCTCAGACAAGCAATATGGTTTCTTTGCCAGATCTACAGCCGATGTGCTCACAGCCATCACGGAAACAGTCTACCGAACTCTCCAAAATAACATCTGGGGAAGCCCGAGCCGTGGCACTAGATATCTCCAAAGCATTTGATAGGGTTTGGCACGCCGGCCTTCTCCGCAAGATCCAGGGTTATGGCATTACGGGTCAATTATATAACGTAATACAATCATTCCTGTCAAACCGTGAATTGAAGGTCGTTCAACGGATTCTCCTCCAGTTCCTATCCCACGAACGCAGGTGTTCCTCAAGGCTCCATCCTAGGCCCCACTCTATTCCTTATCTATATAAATGACCTTCCTGACGCCGTAACTTCTCAAGTCGGCATCTACGCGGATGACACCACAATTTATTCCTGCCTCAAAAACAAATCCAGTCTCGCTGACAAAACTCACCTTGCCG